CCCCAAAACCCCAAAACCCCAAAACCCCAAAACCCCAAAACCCCAAAACCCCAAAACCCCAAAACCCCAAAATATCCATAATCCCTAATAAAAAAGATGTCGCTAAAGCTCTTATACCTCTTCCTGTTCCTCTCTTCTACCCTTGCAATAGACTCAGATCCTCCAATCTTGTCAATCACGACTGAACTAGTCAAGCAGAAATCTCCTGAAAAATCCCTTCGCCAAAATATCACCGTAATGAGTGACTCTAAGCCGACTACTTTCTTTTTGGTAAGTTCATTGAATGGCTAATTGATAGTGAAATAAAGAATTCTGTACATGCAAGAACACCCCAGTCTTCACTGAAAAACACACCACCCAATACCGGATCTTCACGGTTACCTCTCCTACAGACTTGAACATCCCCATAAAGGCTACTCTGTTCAACTATTACTGTAAGACTCTCTCTCACTCCTAGACCCAGACATGAACGACTCGATTGTAGTCCAGCCTGAAATTCTGAAGCTGGAGGCAGGCCAGCCTAAAGAGTTTAAACTTATGTACGAAATTACCAAATTTTTATAAATTTTGTTATTTTGGCTATTTTGGCAATTTTCAAAAATTTGGTCGAGATTTATGAGGGTTTTAGGTACGAACAAACCAGAAATAAGGAACTTGAGAAAATAGTCAGGGTAGAGCTTGATGATGTCAGGTTTGAGTATGTCAAGCAATGATATCTGGACCCACAGAGAGATGAGAAATATCTTTATGCAGCAGCAACGTTATTGGGAATAGCTGTAGTGGTGATTGCTATAGCCGCGAAACAAGACCAATTCCAGTTTATACAGGAGTCAGGTGAAGCTGATATGTACGAAATTCAGAGCTTGAGTGTGAAGCAGGTTCTCGGAGTCCTAGCAATAGCTTCTTGTGTCCTTTTTGGGTTTTATCTGATGATCAAATTCTTCTCTCTGATATGGCTTGTCACTATCTTTTTCCTATTTTCTATCACTTTTCTATTGATTCCTCTTTTTGCTGAAGTAATAGACTACCTTGCCAAAGGTAATGTGTATTCCATCTGCAATCTTGCGATAATGAAAGAATCCGTGAAGTTAAAATTTATTGCTTCTACAGCCATTGCTGTTTCTCTGGTGCTCTATTGGTATATTACAAGAAATTGGCTTGCATGAAATCTAATCGGATGTCTTTGAGTCATCGTTATCCTAAAAATGATGAGATTAAATAAGCTCATGCCTGGCATCCTTCTTTTATCTGCCTTGTTCTTTTATGACATCTTTTGGGTCTTCCTATCCCCTTACATCTTCGGTGGAGAGAGCGTGATGATGGTAGTAGCTACAAATGTTGATCTTCCTGCTAAGCTCCAGTTTCCTCACTATAATTTTTCTACTATTTTTACAGGAGCTAATCCATTTGTACCATGAGCCTTAATCGGTCTGGGAGATCTAGCAGTTCCAGGATTTTACATTAGTTATATCTCAAGATTTGGGGATTATATGAATGCTAAAGTCTATCTGATCAGCCACCTTATTGCTTATTTTCTAAGTATTTGTGCATGAATCTATGTGATTTCCCTCGGAAATGGAGGTCAGCCAGCTTTGCTATACATAGTCCCTGCTTTATTTATTGCAACTTTCATAGTCGGAAAACTCAGGGGTGAGATGAGTGATCTCTTCGAAGGTCTCCCCTCAGCCCTCGCAATCAAGAGAACCACTATTGAATATGACAATAACGAGATAGACCATGACAGCAGTGAGTTACACGAATTCAACTTGAGTGATGAGGATTAAGATTCAACACTCCTCTTATTCATAGGGGTTTTGGGGTTTTGGGGTTTTGGGGG